TGTATCTGCCTATCGTAAGGCCGCAGTCAAGACCGCTGAGAAAGACACGCTCAAGGGCAAGAGTACCGACGCCAATGCCGATGACAGCCCCGAACCTGATTGGCCGGACCATGATGTTGACGAGTCGGCGGAGGAGGACATTCTGAAGGTACCTATCGCTGATGCACGGCGCGCCTTATTAAAATACTATGTCCAACCGGTGCTCCGCATACGTTCGTACGACAAATATAAGGTAAAGATTCGAGCCCTGTATTCATTTGTAACATTGCTCACTACAATACAGATAACAAACGAGGAAATCGCCGCAGGCGCTGCGCCGGGATATAGGTGCCCTCGCTGCAAACTCTACAGTCATCGAGCCGAACCAGTTGAAATCGAGACCTTGAAGACCATCGCGCACTTTGAGCGCCACATGTACGTCCCCGCCTTCTTCACGTTTGCAGAGTGTTCCTGACCACCGTCACTGTCAGCCTCTACTCTCATTCTGAATGAGATGACCTTGAGCTTGAAATCGTCAAGGTCGGACCTACCGGTGTTTTATCGTACCAATGCCCAGCTGGAGACTACAAGTGAGATCGTTGTTGTATGGGTGGGCCAGCACTAACTACGAGTTTCTACAGCGACGCAGAATCCGTGACAGCCGTCCGCAAACATGCCCTTTCCGGCCAGTGCATGAACTCGGAGGGCTTCCTCGCGATGGCTCGAGAGCGAGAGGAGTCGACCCCGAAGCACGACACGGAGGCGTACAAGGATAGGCGTCTCTACCGGTCGCGCAAGGTAAACAGGGATTCGGATGTCTCAGATTCTGATTGCGAGGAATCGGACGATGGCGAGGATCTGGAGCCGGCCAATGCGACCACACTCAAGGGCCAGGTTCAGGATCTACTCTTAGCATCGGTGAGCCTGCTACATTTATTAATGGCGTCCCGATCTGACGATTTTCCTTGAGTCGGCTACATCTCAGGATGACGAGGAGACCACTATCCTCGGGGAGCTATTAGAATACCTGGAGGACGTCCAGCAGCTCCCGGTCACGAAAAAAGGGTCCAAGACGGCGGTAGATTGGGACATTCTTGAACTCGACCAGCTATGACACGCGTTGTTCCTTCCGTAAAAATTCATAATTTCCCTGTACAAAAACATTTCTAATAGGAAGAGCGAAAGAGACTTGAGTAGGACATCGAGGTGGCTCCAAACTGAACTCTATTCCCAGGATTCGCCCCTGCGTATGCACCAAAGGCAGTCGACGTTTCGGCCCGATCTCAAGCATTCACGTTAATATAGCTCTGAAACTTGAAGCGAACGGAGATGCTCACTGCGTGCCTTGAGCTCTTCTACCTGTAATTGTAACAAAAATTCCTCGGCCCTAGTCTCTTGAACTTTCATCGCAGCTCCTGCATGTGCAATCGTTTAAAAAGATCGATATATGCGCATGCAAACGCTCACGATGTTTTTCGTCTTCAGCTGCGAAGCGAAGCTCACACGTATGGATTTTGTTCTGCTCCGAGTCAAGTTCTCTGAGGAGGCGAGTGTGCTCTTTTTTGCTGGAATCCAAAGCAAGGCGGCTGCTGGAGACCCTCGCAGACTCTCGCTCAAAGACGGCCGTGGATACACTTGTCATGAGCGTGCGTGCCTCTGAGAGCGTGATTTGGCGAGCGGCGCTCTTGCGTGTCCTGGAAGCGGGGGCGGTCTGAGCAGCGTCCACAGATTTCGGTGTCTTCTTCTTCTTCCGTCCTCCAGTAGCCTTAGCCTTGTCTTTTGCCTTTGGGGCCTTCTTTTTCGCGGTTCGAGACCTGTTGGTTTTTTCGTAGGCTAAGCAGTAAGACTATATGAAACACACTGGGAGACATCGCTCTCTTTCTCGTAGTCAGAATCGGTGGCCATGGGCAGGCCCCGTGAAGCTCCTGCCAAGGGTTGTCCGCCAAAAGTGCCCGATTTCAGGCTCAAAAATCCTATCTTTTGGCAGCATTTCGGCCTCCAAAATCCTATAACGGATAAGGGTCTACCACTCAAGGGGTCTCGAAAATCGACATTTTGTTGCCTATTTTTGCTATTTTTGCTCCGGAGCGCCGTTTGTGTGCATTTTGGGTCCTTGCGGCTTCTACCTGTGTCTTTCAAACTGTTATCAGCCTCGGGAAAGTTTGGGGCAGTCACCTCTGTGGGGGACACCACCCAAGTTGTGCATTCTGGACCTAAAAATCCTATTTGCGGACAAGGATTTCCGATTTTTGGTCTCAAAAATCCTATTTTCGGACAAGGAAATCACATATTTTCACCCTCAAAAATCCTATTTTGCGGACAATCCTTGGCAGAAGCTTCACGGGGCCTCCATGGGCGTTCGAAGGAAAGGACGGGTCACCGTGACGTGACGGTGACGGTGACACGCTTGACTTCGTACCAACACCATGTCGATGTTTATGCAGCTGGATACCTTCGCCTCGCCTTCTCGCCGCACCAATCCCTCGCAATCTGCTACCCATGAGACTCAGGACGTCGCCATGACCTCTCCGCCCAATTCACCGGAAAAAGCAGCCTCGGACATACAGCCGACAAAAAAGAGCAAAAAACGAAAGTCTTCGGACAAGGACCCCCACGACGACTCCCGCGCCTCCAAGAAAAAGGCCAGCGTTACTAAACCCGCTGCGCGCCATGCCGTGATCGATGCCGCCCTCCTCGTCAAGAACATCAATCGTGCTAAACTCACATGTGCCCGACTGGACTCTGAGACCGCCACGCAAAATGCCAAGAACGCATCCATCCAGCTAGAAATCGAACAGGTCCGGCTCAACGTGATAGAAGCGGAACGTGTAGGTGCAGAGGAGAAACTAGGTTCGTATATCGGTTTTTATGCGCGTTTTATCGCTCTAACCACTGCATGCACGCAGCGCGGGCTGTCGCCTTGCAAGAGGCAATCTCGCATACAAAACTGCTTGAACTGCAAATCGCTCGCTTGCAGCAAAAAGAAAGTGCGTACAACACACCGCCCTGGCAGCGCATATATTCATCTTGGTTGATAGATAGCACGGGTACCCACAACATCTTTGGCGCTAATCGCCCCATACCTCTGTCTGCTAATGCAACCAGCGCGCGCAACCCATCTTCGTTTTTCGGCGCTCCAGCGCATGCGCAACCCAACACCTCATTCTCAACCATGCCTTCCACTTCCGCTCCGTTTTCGATGTACGCCTCGACCTCCTCCCATCGAAAACCCTCTCCGACGCGTCAGCCCCTGGCACCAATGTCTTTTGCTCGCACTTCCGGCTCCTTCGGTGTCGTAACCACAACAGAAACTCCGTCGCGGCAGGCCCGGCCTCTGGAGTGGTCCGAGGGCGTGTAGCGTTCAGTAGATTTTTTTTGCTGCGATTCGGACTATATTCTTTGACTTTCGCTCTCGGTTGTATTTCCCTCATCGCACTAGATACTTGACGCTATGTTTTCATTTTCACCCAACCGCTAAATATCATTGATTGTACGCTGTGCCACGTTAAACCCCGTTAACCCAGCAATCCATCTGCGAACACCCGGCTCTTCGGAGCTTGTGTTACGGCAGCGCCACAACGAAGTGCTAATAGTTTGGGTGTGTTTATGTACCTCGTGAGCGTGACCGTTCCATAAATAAAAGCACCCCAGCATGTTCCTAGGGCCCAAGTTCAGAGTTTCACCCGGGATCATCCTCTTCAATTACATGTAGAAGCAGACCGTACCGTACGCAGTACTCACTTTGAGGTGTCGGTGTTCAACTTGGGCAATATCCAAATTAAATATCCGACAGGTGTTATAAAGTTAAGGTAAGATAAAAGCGCAGCTCGCCCAATTGTGCATGCCGAACAGCACCCCAACGCCCTGCCGTTGCTAAAAGCAAGAAAAAAAAGAAAAAAGAAAAAGAAACAAATGAAATAAAATAATTACGCAGCATAACCACTCTACGAGGCAACCACTCCAAGCCCGTTTGAAGGTTCGTGGTCGAATGCTGTCGATGGGTCCCTACAAGCACATATTTTTTTCACGTCCCAGCGGCATTGTGCTGATTGGACGATGCAATGTGATGCAGGATTTCCGTTAGAACTACGGCCTGACTGCGTCAGAGGGAGAACCGCAAAGAAGGCGGTGAACGTCGTATAATAGGGTGTTTCATATATACTATTTCGGGCCCAACTTGGGACCCAACTTCGTGCCCAACTTCGCGCGAAGTTGGAACATGAAATAGTTCGGAACTCGAAGTTGGATGTCAAATCGTGCTCCGGACCACGATTTGACATCCAACTTGGACCCCAACTTCGTGTTCCAACTTCACCCGTTCGATTTGGTCCACCCATTGCACTTTCCGGGGCCAAATTCCGATAAATTATGGCCCAAGTTGGAGCCAAGTTGGGGTCGAAATCGGGTCTCAAGTTGGGCGCGAAATAGTATGTATGAAACACCCTAATGGGAATAACATTTGACCCTGAGACTATAAAAAAATTGTCGGCGCATATACATTCCGTTCCGTTATTCTATTCATAAGTCCACCGGATGATCGATCGACTTGAAGTCTTGAACCCCTGATCGATCGTCCACTGTCGATCTGAGGTCACGACTTGCGGCTAAGTGCGGCTACAAGGGTCTGGAATTCTGCGATCTGCGATTCATCGGCTCAAGAGAAAAGCTCACCAATAACTACCAGTGGGGTTTTCTGAAGAGTGGGGAGTTGGTCGGGAGACGCGGACCGCAGTGTAGCACTGCCACTGAAAACACTGCCACAGATACGCCAATCATTTGTCTCCGGCGCCTTCCGCGTGGTTCAAGAAAAAAAGCACATTAATACTTAGATGGAAGAGCATCCCCGGCTCCGCTTTTGCCTTACAATTAAGCAAAACCCTGTACATACATTAGAGAGTGTATATCAACACCCAAGTCGACAAGCGCTCAACTATTTAAGCCCCTTTCGACTTAGTGCAATTTTACTATTTACAGTGCTTTTCAGGAGGAAGAAGGGAAGGAAGAGAAAAAGAAACAAAACCTGTCCGCGGGGTGGATCGAACACCCGGCTCTTCGGAGGTCACATTACGGCATGCCACAACGAAGTGATTTAACCACTAATCGACGCAGACATTAGCTGTTTTGAACAAGTTATGGGCTACACTACTGCAGAACCAAGAATAGACCGACACTCATTTCGAAGGTGGCTGGACGAGGATCGTTAGCCTCGATGCTCGAGGCATCCGGTAGCCTTCGCACGACGCTATAAATATTTCGGACTTGGATGCCATCAAGTTGTGCTTGTTTATGTGTCTCGTGAGCGCGACCGTTCCATAAATGAAAGCGCCCTAGCGCTAGTCTCACCCGGATTATTCTATTCAATTACATAGAGGCAGACCATACCATACGAAGTACTTGAGGTGTCGATGTTCAACTTGGCAATGTTCAAATTGAATATCCGACAGGTGTTACAAAGTTGCGGCAAAATTTTTAAAAGTGACAGAACTATGTCGCTGGAAGCACCCGTTTCATGGCAGGGATGAAATCGATGTCGTGACTGTTTAATCGTGGCTGTTTAAATGCTGCCAGTGTACTGCAAAGTGTACGGGGAAGGCCGAACTTTCGTTGAAGTTGTGATGTCCGAGCGGTTTACGAACGCAACACGACCTCCCACAAGCCAACTCTCCTTCTCTGTAACGGGGGAAAAAAGAAAGTCTCGCGGGCCACCGCCAATGGAACAAAGGTCGAACTATTGCGCAGTACTAGATATCCGTCTATCAATGTGCATGTGACTCTTCAACAAGTCCTCGAGCACCGTGTACATGTCCCCTCCCCACGGCCCCCAAAATTATTTACGGGAACTAGTTCCAGCTGAAGATTTACCGGTCACTGAGCACTCACCGGAACGGCAGGCCAGACCCAAATCCTTGTCAAGTTCACTGGCAGTTTAACTCGGTAGTGCTTTGCTTTGACCCCGTAACGTTTCGGACTTGCTTGGCCGCCGACTTGTTCTGTCCTCTAGGCCAGGTTTATTGCCTAACGTAACGTATTTACGCACTACAACTATCACCGACTTGAACTATCTTCGAGTCTGGGTTTTAAATAATTGGAATTGGGAACGCGTGAGACGAGTCAAACAAGAACCAGGATGTTAGACGAATATACACATGACTGAAAACAAAAGCCGGAAATTCTGCCAATGAAGACACCCGAATGATGTCCCCTACACCACGGGTTTCTCCAATCCCAAAAACCCAGTCTCGTCGAGAGTTTCCATGCCGTCGAGTTTCTTCAGGTTGGATGCGCACCTGTTCCCACCATCCCCACTCGCCACTGTGGCTCCCACTTCGGCGAACCTCTCCCGAGCCCCCACGTAGGCGCTTCGGGAGGCTGGAAGGTCCATCTTCGCTGCGCAGATGTATCCAAGTAGCTCCAAACTCCGACCGATCAGGTCCGGGGCTCCTAGAGACCGGCTCATCTGAACGGAACGCTTGATGGTTTTGAATGCTTCAACATACAGCGTCTCATCGTTATTCTGGAGGGATATACCAATGAGGTAACCCCCCAGGACCGTCAGAACCTCGGTGATTTGATGTTGATCATCAGCCTGTTCCGCTTTCGTCAATGCCTCCCCAGCCATGGAACGTGCTGTGAGGTAGTCGTTCCCAGTGGCTTGGGTTATCCTCGCCATCAGCAAAAGGCATCTGGATACGCTCGCTGGACAGTTCAGCGCCTCCAATTTCGATTTTGCAACGGAGAGAATTTCGAGCGCTTTCTCCCGGTCATTCTTCCACCACAAGAAATGCCCAAGACCGCGCAGCCCACGGGCGACATGGTATTTTTGATTCGCGTCGTGCGACAGGTCATCGTTCGCCTGGGACACCAGTTGGTCGATTTCGTCTTGGTCTCTGTCGCGCATGCTCATCAAGGTCTCCGCATGAACCATTGCACATTCGCCTGCACGGAGACGATCGGGCCCACCGGGCAAGCTTTCAAGTTTGAACAGGCGGTAAGCCTCCTTGAAATGATCGCAGGCCCTGTCATAGCGGTCGAGTCTGAATGTTATCTTCCCTAGGCATTGGTGAGCTTCGGCAACATGGCGATCAGCGCCCGCGGTGCGCGCGACCTTCAGGGCATGCAAGGCAACCACTGTGCTTGGTTTGGTGCGGAACTGATAGAGGCTGAAGGCTATGAGTGCGTCCAGAGCTTTTGGACGCAACTTCTGGACTACCCCGATCTGCATGAGGATGCCCTGGATGTTTGCCTCCTCGTCCGCTAGAGCCATCAGGTCGGCTTTGTACGCTTCGTTGTTGGGGGCGGATTTGTGCGCAAGAACGAATGCATAGCAGGCGTCGTGTACCTGGTCCTGCACCTCGTCGGATATGCAATTTTGGCGGGACATGTAGGATTTAATGGTTGGGCGCACGGAGATACGCGAGGTCTCTAAATACTCAGACTCCTGTTCAACGAGTGCTGCAGAGCGTAGAGCACTGATGGCGGCGGAGTACGAGGCCAGCTTCGGCGCCCACCACGATAAGCTATTACCGGTGGCGCCGCTTGGGAGGAGGGAGAGGACGGCGAGTACGTTCAACGCGTCGGGGTTCGATTTCACGATTTCCCGCTCCATGGACACGGCGATCGTGCGGTTCATGCTGAGCTCGGCACCGCGGGATATCATGTCTGGGCCAGATTTTTCCCATTCCTGTAACAAATACTCCGGGGATGCACGGGAATGCTTTCCGTCCGTTGCCATGAGAGTAATCGCCAGCGGTATGCGGTCTATGGCATCCAAGAGCTCGCCAAGCTTCGGTTTATTAGCTGCTGCTGGATATATGCTTTTGAAGGTGGCATGGGCCGCCGCCGCATCCAGGGGTTTGAGTCGTTCGTGCTGCCAATCGATCATGTCCTCAGAGGGAAGGAAGTCGGAGGTCATAGTGACTAGGAGGGCGATGTGCGGGAGCCGTGCCAATCGAGACAAGATATCGTGCACCTGTCGGATGTGGTGGGGATTGGCAGAAAACCAAGGCGTCTCGAAATTATCGAGGAGCAACAGCCGTCGCTCCTTAGACGCCTTGAGCTCTTTGATGAGAGGAGTGAGCGTATCATAGGAATCTGCCGTGATGCGGAGCTGGGTGTAAAGGATTTTGCGGAGCGCATCGGGTGACTTCGCTTCAACGCAGGGGACCCAGAACTGGTATTCCTTCTGGAATACCTTGTTTATGGCATCGCTCTCGACTACAGCGAGCGCGGTGCTTGTCTTTCCCATGCCCCCTGGTCCAGTTATGCACACTCGAGACGTCTTCGTGTTGATAAGCAGCGAAGCGATCTTGGCAACGCATTCCTCGCGTCCATAGAATATGCTGGGTTCCAGCGGCATATCTTGTCTGGCGAGGGTTTCAGGCGCATTATGCGGTCTGTTGACGTGCTTGACGAGGTCCTCGATTCTATCGAGCTGCGTCGTCACAGTGGACTGTTTCGCCAAGATCTCCTTATGTTTTTCCAAGATCTCGTTGACTCGCTTCTCCAGCTGCATCTGCTGCGATACCTGAAACGAAATCAATTTCAAGCCGTCAAATTAGAAAGGGAAACATGTATACATTAAACTGTTCCAGAGCCGCATCCACACGCCCGACGCATTTGTTCACTTTCTCCTTGTTTAGCTGGTGGAAGAAGATGAGCAGCCATCTTTTTTGTTCTTTGATTTCGTCCAGAGCATTCTGTATGCTCTGGAGAGTACTGGTGGAGTGGTGGCTGTCAGTAAAATTGGATGAGAAGTCAATAGCGAACGCACTCTTGGAGGTTTCTGATTCTCTTCTGTAGTTCCTCGGAAGCACTCCCGTTGGCTTCGTCGATGACTACGACCGACAGAGAATATATGCGCTTCTGCAGATGCTTCACATTCTCTTTGACAAGACTTGCATCCTGTTATCATTTCTCATGAGAGTGGTCCTCGTCAGATAATGCCCCACATACCTCACAAACTTCAACGACCTTCACTGCGACTTTCACAAAATCCGCCAAGAACGGCACAGGTATGAAATCGGCCATGGCTTGCAGAGTTGCGCCCAACTCCTTCCCTCCACCCAGGATATATTCTGCATTGGAAGGTTTCGCATCGGTGGAGGTGCGCTACCCAAGATTTCAGAAGGCTTTCACTGGAACAAAATACCGCTTACAGCGCTGGTTTCTACCCTTGTATGGCTCTTGGATCTCCCTCGGAGAGATAACCACGGAAAACGTCTAACCATTGGTGTAGTGCAGGACGCGGGGGTGGGAGGTAAAGCTGGCAGAGCGTTCAGGGCTTTCGGTGTCAGTCTTCAGCCACAAAGCCGCCTTTTAGTCAAGAGATTTAGGCGCTATCTAGAGCATTTGGGATGTAAAACTGGCAGAGCGCTCAGGGCCTTCGGTGTCAGTCTTCAGCCACAAAGCCCCCTTTTAGTCAAGAGATTTAGGCGCTATCTCGAGCGTTTGGGAGGTAAAGCTGGCAGAACACTCAGTTCGGTGTCAGTCTTCAGCCACAAAGCCGCCTTCTAGTCAGATATTTAGGCGCTATCTGTTAGAGCGCTTGAGAAGAAGCGAGGACGTCGGACTGACTGACAGCCGTTTTGAATGAAAAGGTCCAGCAATAGTACACCTGTCACCACCGAACAGAGGGAATGTTTGAAAGACACTCGGTCTATAATCATCAGACCACTGCCACTAATATAATTGACAGTGCTTGAGGTACGCCACGGCATCTAAAAAACATACCTCATGTCGCTCCGATATACTGGTAGATGTTGGTATCGTATTGCGTAATCATTTTTTTTTGATTCATACTCATACTGAGCCCATTCTTAGATTATGGCGGTCCGGGTGCACATTTATTCCGCGCCCCGAAAAGTCGACCCCGCCCTTATATAGAAGTGTTTTGATGATCTCCGTCCCATAAATGGCCACCCCCATTGGGAGGTTTATTTTGGGCTCGGATGCATCCGAGCCCCGCCCCATATAAACTCAGACCCCACCCCATGTATAAAGTTGGACCCGCTTTACAGCTGTTTGCAATGAGCATGACACTCGACCAATTCTTGTAAATAAGAGCAAATTTGATCTGGCACTTTGCTGCCGGCGCTCCTCACGCAATTCTCCA